TATTCAAAGTTGGTGATCGCTGTTTTAAATTCCTTGCGACGGATTAAATCCCATTTAATGCTCTGACACTTCCAAGAAGCAGGGTGGGAGTCGCGTGCATCAAAATACTTTTTCGGGAGAAAACTTCACTGAAATGACTCGTTTCCGACTTATTTCCAAGTCCGAGCATTTGGAATAACAACTACTACAGATCGGTATATCAGGAAGACAATACACGGACCTGGAAGGAAGTTTGAAACTGTATCTCTGACATCCTTTAAATAATTGAGCTCCCTCCCCTGTCTTGAGAAAATAGAAGTTACACACTTTCCAGGGCAGTTTAATGCCGTTATCCTGGAGTAAAGCCCTTTGCAACCTCCTCCAGGAAATTTTATTTTTAGTAAATTGGTATAATATGGTCCCACTGATGTCTCAAACAGTTCTAATTCGGAAGTGCTGCAGTTTCTCCCATAGAAGTCAATACATCAACCTATGGTTCTCCACAGTAGCATTTGCCCAGACATACCTTGAGGACTGACAAGTGAATTCATAAAAAAATGGACAGGGTGCCATTGTAGCTTTTAATAACCTAAAATAAATATGCAGTAAGGTAACCATGTCCAATTACAAATACTTCAATTCATTGCCTGGTTTCTGAGTGATTATTAGTAATCAGAATTATATTTTAAGACATGATGGTATTTTCCTATAAAAGGTTTGCTGCAGGTGGAGCAAACAACTGTCTGGTCTGCTGAATTCCTCCCACCTTTTTCTAGCAGAAGAAAAATGCCCAAAGCTCTTGCCTTTAATGGCTGCATCTTAGCCATCAACACACACCATATGTAGATGTCCCATTGGTTCTAATGGGATTATGCAAACATGCTCACTTGACTTCAAGCTGATTTAAACCAGATGGATTGGGAAGACATACTGCTGGAGTTAATGGGCCATGCAGCTGAAAAGATAAACTTCCATCCTAATCTTAACTCTGTGGAAAGTAAAGTTGCCCTGCAAATAATGAGACTTACTCCCTGTAATAAGTGCATCTTTGATTTGGGACTCCATCCAACGCATATGTCTTGAATTTAGGGTCTGCCAAGTAACATGCTTAGGTTTTTATTGTATGTCTGCTAAAAACTGTACTCTCTATGAAGCTATTATTCTAGTCTGACTACAAAGCCTTTGAAGGGCATTTTGTGAGGTTTCAAATGAACTTAGGGGGTCCCTTCAGCTCCTACCTTACAGAGTAGACTAGAGTCCTCATGGCATGGTTTCAGACGGTGACATCAGTAAGCCCAACAGGCTTACTGAATCCAACCCATATGAAAAACTTATGCTGCAGTTCTTAGACCCCCAGGAGTAAGTCCAACCGAGGACATTACAGTTTATCTCTTGAGCTAAGTGCATGGAACTTTGCAATTAAAAGTGGTGTAGATTGTCAATAAAAATATTACTGAAGTAGTTGGGCCAAGTCTATGCTAGGACCCAGTGGATTTTATAATGTGACCTCTGCTTGTGGTATTTGCCTGGGGAGGAAAACTGCACTAAAGTTACGGCTGCTGTCTTATGAGATAGGAAATGACAACAGCGAATACAACCTTCAAACAGATCCACAGAGCAGGCATTCCCGAAAGGCTGGCACCTAGTCCTAAATGTAATTTTCCCCTGTAACAAATTCTCATTTAAATACACCTTTATTGATTTAAGATACCTTAACCCCCAATATGACCCCTCCCAGACTACTAACTTCAACCTTCTCTCCCGGGCATAAACAGAGGAGGAAAGTTGCACATACTTGAAAGTTTACTTTCTTAACCTGTAATTTTTTTATTTTCAAGCTGACCACCTTTCAAATGGACATGTTACCTGAAGATAAATCCCTACTGATTTCTGTCCTTCTATAAATGGAAGCAATTCTGAATTAGAGGCTAAGGAGCATTTAGCATTTTTGGTGAGATCTGTTTTTCCAAAAAGGGGTTTAGGCCTCAGTGAAACCCAACTTATTTGCCATTTGGGCCTTAACACCAGGAGGAAATGGCTAAAACAAACTGAGCAGAGTCAAATCAAGGAATGTGCCTCACTTCCCATTACTTTCAGCTGGGCTCTTAACTTACAAATCCCATTTAATTCAAAGGGACACAAGTGACTCTTCCAATCCAAATATGGAACAATGTTGTGTACAGGAAATCAGAAGAACATACTTCCAGTAAAATGAAGAGCCCACACTAGATATCTTACCCTGCAGGAAGACCCACAGACTTCAGTAGGACTTCTCTGCATATGGCCGGGAAGTAAGGAGCCCTGAGATGCAACTCTTAGTACGTTAGGCTGGGAGGGTGGACTTCAAGTAGCTAGCATCAGCCTTTCCCAATGGAAGACTTCTGTAGAACAAGAGGGTTGTATGTACACAACATGCTTAATGGAGACAGTTACTGACGCAAAGGCTGCATTTCCTTATGTTAAACCCAATGTTTCAACATTCACTAGGAGTGGGGCAGGGGCTTAGCTTATTGTGAGAACTCAGCACCTTTATTTAGTTTTAATTCAATCTTTATTGTACAAACCCAGAAAACGGATGGATTCAGTTACAGGTTAAGTGGGCTACCTGAATGCAGGCACAGGAAAGAGTCCCAGGGAATCTGATTCTGGCCTCCTATATACCTCCACTTGCACAAACCAGTTCTGTAGCTATAGGTATCCTGCTCTTAAACACACGGACTGAAAACTAAATCCCCATGAAAACACTATCAATGTGTAATCCCAACTGAATGAGTGAAGGGGCTAACACTAAACAAATCAGTGCCCTCCAGATGTTATAGAATGACAATTCCATCATCTCAATGGCCATGTCATTGGGGTGTCCTCCCAGACTGAAATGTCACCATTCAGGAACAAAAAGAAAAAATCAAGATCTTACAAAGACGTATTTTCCATAGGGCTTACTTGCACATAACTCTGAAAAATTAATACCTTTACTTACATATCCACTTTGGCTGATTCCCCCAACACAAGAGATTGAACTGAGATGTGAATAGTGTTGCTTAGCATATTGTTGCTTTGGCCTGCTGTGCATCATGTTAAATCATAGTATGGTTTATTCTGTTGGCCAAAGGATGTCACATGGCTCTGGGATCAGGGTTAAGCTTTGTGTAGGAACTCAGCCATAAATCACATAACAGACAGAAGTAAATCCCATTTAAGGGGCTTACTCCTGAGCAAATGTGGGTATAGGATTGAAGCCCAAGCACAGAAACTTATGCACATGCTTCGGCAGAAGCAAATGTTCTAGAACATGGTGTAAGACCACAACCTCTGTGTGCCTTGAGTTGCCACCAACCCCAGGTAATAAGCGAAGTGCCAGGATTTGTCTTAACACTGAAATTACATTTAATATGGGAAATGCCTCCGTATTTCAGCAACCATGCAGGCTGGGAATTATTGTTTTTTCAAGTATTTCCTTTCTTCAGATCTGTTATCAGGCATTCCAATTTCTGCTGAAGTTTTGCAGATTTTTTTCTTCCCATCCCATTTCTATCCTTGCTGTTCTTCTCCACCAGTACTGCTTGTACTGTATGGGAGATGGTAAGGAGTTAGGAAGTGGTAGGAATAAGAATTCTACTTTATATTGTTATACTTGTTTTGTGCATTATTATGCCCATACAGAGAGACCCACTTCTGCTGAAAGCACATGGAATCGGATGGGAAACTACCTGTTGCCTGACCCATAACAATCCTGAACTATGAAGTACATTCAACTTATTTTAATGGTGTACATACTCAGAGGGCTTGCAACCCAATCCTGAGGCACCTACTGAGGAGTTCCAACAAATTACAGAGTAGAATTTCTATCCGTTCTATCCTTGGCCTGATGCCAGATGACAAGTAGACAATCAAGGCTACATCCAGCAGAAGCAAATTGATTCATTTGGGCTGGATTAAAGGAGCAGGAACTTGTGGCCCTCTAGGTATTGTCAGATGACCACCTTTAATTTTTAACCATTGTGATTGGAGGACCATAAATTCTCCTCCCTAGATTAGACAAATTCAAGGACAGTAAGTTGAGGTGTGATTAATAATGAGAGGAATCTGTCAATTTGTCATTGTCATATTCGTTCTTCTGTCCATTTAGAATAGAAGGGTCCATGTCGAATGGCAACATACCTTTTAACGTAAGTGAGGGTAAATAATAGCTAGCACCGTCTCACTTTGAGCTGCAATTGGAGGTCAACCATTGAACTTCTGACCCTTAGTCCAAGCTTCTAAATTTTGCACCTTCTTTTTTTCCTTTTGAGAAAACTGTCCTAAATCTTTCATATCTTGGGATTCTCAGGAATAACTGTGATCTACCTCAGCAGCAGTGCTTCCTGAAATACAGTGGTGGCATTAATTTATATATACATGTGACATGATGAAGCAGAGATTCATCCTAAACTGCTTAATGAAACAGTTCTGTGATCCAGTTCTGTAAATGGTATGCGTCTATGAAAGATTTGGGCTTTCTAAGTAGCAAGCTGGGATTTCAAAAGAACATTATGATCCAAGACAGTATTTAGACAAATTACAGTGGTATAATTCTTATAGATATGACAGGAAAGGGTTTTGGTTTAAAAGAAAAATCAAAGGTTAGAATTCCAGATTAAGTCCCCTGAGTTTTAATAGTTGTTAGTCTATAGATCCATAGGTTCCTGGGATCCCTGAATTCAATTTTTGCTCTATAGCAGGGGTGCAAAACGTCTGGGCCAGAGATTGCATGCCTTCTGCCAACACCTTTAATGGCCCCTGGCACACTTCCCAGAGGGGGTGAAGGCTACAATTTATCATGTGTGTGTGTGTGTTGAATTTTGGGGTCTGTGGAAGATTTAAGGGGCAAAATGGGTGCCTTAAATCTTGCAGATGTTTAAGGAGCCCATTTTACCTGTTAACACTTCTGAGACCCTTTCCCAGAATGGGCTGTTGGCCTGCTCAGTTTTGGAATCTTCAACATGCCATGCAAAGCCTGGTGCAGCCCTTAAACCAGTACATCCCTTTCTGTGTCATAGGTTGCATCCTGTGCATATCACATACTAGGCAGCTGCTTTTCCAGAGACCCTCAGAACATATCACTAAAGAATACAATATTCCATATGGCCCATCTTTCATTTATCTATTAGATCAACCTATTTCCAGTGACTTGCAAAAGCCATTCACAAGTTTCTTTCATAATATTCAGTCTGATCTTTACATCTGCTAGAATTATTGGCAAAAGTGGAAATAAAATCAGCATAGCAGGTTACATACAGATTGCATAGTGCATTTATGGCATTCTGCTTATTTTGTGGTCCTGTTTATTATATCCATAGGTAGCAACTTCAGTGTGTATCTAGCCTTTTCTTATTGTAAAAATTTCCTTTGTTGTGCATATATCTATCCCTTAATTGTATTCCTCTATTTTAGCATGAAAGGGCTGAGCTATAATCCATCAAAGATGAATTCTGTTTTCTGAGGCTTGAACACAGCGAAAGGTTTTTATCTTCACCAATGCAAAAAAGTCTGTGTTACCACCTGGCAACTGTTTTGTAAATTACCACTGCCAATGAAAGAATTAAAACTACTTTCTGGCACTTTCCCCTTTACCCTGTTGTTTACTGTTATTGATGTCCCACCATGAGTTTTTTATATTTACAGATTCAGGAAAGCTCAATCTGTAATAAATCTGCTAACTTTTAAGGTATAACATTCTTCTCAAATTCAGCTGCCTCACTAAGTTGGACATTGTTAAAGAAATGATAGAGGATAAATTAAAAAGCAGAGAATCAGTTTTGCCCTATCATTCTCTTATTCCTCAGATCCAATTTCTTCCTAAATACAGAATTTCCTTGTTTGTAATGCTGTTTCTTTGCTTTTCAGATAAATGTGCAGAAGGAGAAAAATGCTTGGAGGGGAAGGAACTTTATGCTATGTGCTTTATTACCAACTAAGTTTCAAATAATTGGGATTGGAATTGCATTTCTCTCTTAATTTCCAGTTTAAGTTACAGTCTGACTTTCCTGAAGAACCCAGCAATGGAGAGCATGAATTACTTGTGGAGGGGAACTGCCTTTTCTGGCTTTGACTATTTTGAAATTAACTTTTCCCCTATTCAAAGCATTTTTAAGTAATAGACATGAACATGCCTGGACCCTTGACCAAATAACAATATAATTATGTAGATGTTCTTTCCAAAGTATACCAAAGTAGGTGGAACCCAATCCTATGCATCTAGAAATAAATTTCACAGAGTTCCATTGGATACCAGGCTGACCAGTCATTTAACCTGTGACAGACCCTCCCTCCCAAAAGCGGGCTGTTAAAATGAACGTGCAAGGACCCAGCCATTGCTTGGAAACCATCCCTGAGTGTCGACCTCCATGAAATGAATCTGCATTTCCCCCACATGTTGGCATTCTACCTTTCCTTCCTGCAAGGCTACTGACAGCCACATCAAAAGACCGGCTGCCTGGAAATTGGAGGACAACCAATTAGGGCAGGTTGAAGTGATTCACTTCTGAATTGTATTTGGTGGATTGTTTTTAAATGCTGTTGCTTATCACCAAGCCATTAATTTTACCATAGAAACTAAAGGCGGGAGCCCAATACGAGGTCCCTTGCTTTTTAATAAATAGAAAGGGAAGTTTAGAATCCTGCAAAGGGAAGGAGCTGCCTTCCTATCCTACCAACCTTGGATTTCTTAGTTCAGAAAAAAGTTTGGAACAAACTTTGCCTGCCCTTATTTTTCTTCAAAGTAGTAATGACACACCATCTTACATGGAACACAATTGTTGGCTTGGAGATGTGGGGAGAAGATGAATCGATGCTCAGGTGGGGCAGGTAAGGATAGGATCACTGGGGCAACTACGCTACTTTTGCCAGGAACAAAAATACCCGTTAAAATGTAAGAAACCCTTTATTTACAGTCTACTTTTCTCCATCTCCCTCCATGTCTGTTGTCTCTCCCGGCGCTTCCTTTCACGGCCAGAGAATACGAGGCGACCATTTGCCAACGGGTCGGGTGGGCAGGGCTACTTCTTGCCGCGAGCGGGCGAGGGAGCCAGAGTAGGATCGAGAGCTGCAGAAGCCGACCTTTTCCTTGGCCTTTGCTGAACTCCTCGAACCAGACACCTTCGCGTCCAGGCGCGCCGGGGGACTCTCCGCCGTGAAAGCGCCCAACTGCCCTCCCCGCCTACCTGAATGGACCTGGTCCGGGGCGCGCCGTCTGGAGGCCTGCAGGATCGCCCTCCGGGCCGCCCCATCTCTTTTGGGGAGGAGCCCCGCACTCTCCACAACAGATGCAGGGCCCTGATCCCATCGGTAAGGAGAGACTGGCAGCCCAGCTCCACCCGCTGTTCAAAGTCAATTCCCGCGGAACCCATTCCGGAGCGCTCCGCCCACACCAGGGGTTAGTATCCCGCATCCAGAGGCCTCTGCTGGGCCGAGCCCTCGGAGCTGGGACTCTTGTCAGCTTCCCAGCTTGGCTGAGGGGAGGCCATCACGGAGAGTCCCGCAGGCAAAATGAGGACTCGGGGCACCGCAGAGGCTCTCGGCCTTGCTCCAGGCCTGGGAGAGGAGGCGACGGCTCGGCGTGGGCTGCGGTCTCCGAGCCCGCGGATGGGTGCAGGTCCGAGCTGTGTCGCTGCATGGCCTGACCGGGGGCGGCTCCCGGCTCAGTCCGTTCCGCGTCGCTGCCGAGCTCCAGATCCAGGGATTCGGCCTCGCTGCTGTCACTCTCGCCTTCCGAGCGGCTCGGGCTGCGCTCGAGCTCACCTTC